AAAAAAAAAAAAAAAAGGAATTCTTTACTATCTAGTGCAGGGGTGGGCAAACTTTTTGACTTGAGGGCCGCAATGGGTTCATATATTGGACCCGGGGGCCGGACCAAGAGTAGATGAATGATGTGTATGTGTCATCCATATTAAGTATAGTAATATTCCCCCATAGTAATTAATCCCCCATATAGTAATTCATCCCCCATATAGTAATTCATCCCCCCTATAGTAATTCATCCCCCCTATAGTAATTCATCCCCCATATAGTAATTCATCCCATCCCCCATATTAATTCCCCCCTGTGTCAATTCACTTACCTTTGCTCCGCGCGTTCCTCTCGCCGTGTTCCGGTGTAGCATGAAAATCTGTCTCCTATGAGGATCTGTCCCCCTCGATGTATCTGCGCATGTGCCAGTTTCAGGCATTAGCAGCCGATCTCCGGCACATGCGCAGATACGTCGAGGGGGGACAGATCCCCCTCGACGTATCTGCGCATGTTCAGGGCGGACTGTGAGAGGAGCCTAGCGGGAGCCTAGCTCCGCAGGCCGGATTAAAAGGCCCGCGGGCCGTAGTTTGCCCATTGCTGATCTAGTGGATGGCGAGTTACTAGGTATCCTGTTATTTTTATTTTCCAGGTGTGTCGGATACCCCACCCCACTACATTGCTACAGAACACAATAGGTATGTTAGTGGCCATCGAGAGGAAGCACCCGGCAAAGAACACTAACCTCCCAAGTGTGTTGGATAGCAGAGCTGCTGGTATCTCTTAAAGTAAATGTAAACCCCAACAGTGAACCTTTGGTCTGTGAAATATATCATGGAAGGTGCTTTGTTATATCTGTTTGATAGGAATAAAAATACCTCTTGATTCTGCCAGTTTTGTGAGCCGTTATCTTCCTGTGCACAAAGATCAGCTATGGAGAAGGGGGATGAGCCTGAATGTTTTTTCCACTTGCCTACCAGGTATTTTTGGAGCCCAAAACAAGTAATTTTTTACAGCACCCGACCATTTCCCCACAAAAGCCATATCTTGCCCCAGGCACACAAAAATACACTGCAACCTTTTCAAAAAGACATCTAGGACGGAGCTCTTATAACCGCTCTCATAAAAAAAAAAACTTTTGAATAGTTTTTACTATCTATTGCAGCGATCATGCAAACGTAACTTTTACCTTGAGGGCCGCAATTTTTCATATATTTTTTTGAGCCGGTAACCAAAGTAGATGAATGATGAGTATTTTCTTATTAAGTATAGGAATATTCCCCCCAGTAATTAACTGCCCCATATATTTTCAATCCCCCCTATAGTCAATTTTATCCCCCCTATAGTAAATCAAAAAAAAGACCAAAATATATTTAATGAAAGAATCCCCCAATTAGGTTCCCCCCTGTGTCAATTTTTACCTTTGCTCCGCGCGTATCTCCTTCACTGATGGGGCCGATGAAAGGTGTAGCATGAAAATCACTGATCTCCTATATGACAGTAATTATACTATAGGCGCATGATGCCATTATTTCAGGCATTAGCTATACCAGACCAATGGGCACATACGCGGGGCGATAGATACTCGAGGGGACATGAGTTCCCCCCTATGGGGGACCGCGAATCCACTGCGCATGTTCAGGGCGATGTACTGTGAGATGGGGGAGCTAGCGGAGCTCTAGCTCCGCAGCCGGATTAAAAGGCACCAATGCTGTAAAGGAGGTTTAGGGCCGTATTTTTGCCCATATCAAATCCTACTAGTGGGGCGAGTTATGCAACTAGGTATCAACTGTTATCGTTATTTTATTTCCAGGTGGTGTCGGATACCCCACACCCCACTACATTGCAAGACAGAACACAATAGGTATGTTAGGCCATCGAGAGGGAGGGAAGGTTCACCCGGCAAAGAACACTAATCCCAAGTGTGTTGGAATTAGCTTTAAAGAGCGCTGGATACTCTCCTAAAGTAAATGTGATGGTTACAACATGGTGAAGGGTCTGTGAAATATTATATCATGGAAGGTGCTTTGTTATATCTGTTGGATAGGAATAAAAATGCAAACCTCTTGATTATTCTGCCAGGAGACATTGTGAGCCGTTAATCTTCGCAAATTGGCACAAAGCAACAGGGAGCTATGGAGAAGGGGGAAAGAGCCTGGAATGTTTTTCCACTGCTGTGCTACCAGAACGTTATCCCTTCTTGCCCAGACATGACATTTTGGAGAAAAGATCATTTGTCAGACAGTGGCTCTGGGGGAAATTTGAATGAAAATGCGCGATCATGCACAACGTACCCAAACCAAATTATTTTTATAATTTTTTTTCCAAAGAACAAATAGAGTTTTTCTTTTGCGGAAAAGCCATGTGTACAAATTACGGGGTTTTTTATTTTTTGCTGATTGAAACAAATTAGAAATGTTTTGGACCAAAAAAATTTGAAAGAAACATAGTTTTTTTTTAGTTTCTGTTATAAATGTTTTGTATGAAATACGTAATTTTTGCCTCCTTCACTGATGGGCAACCGGGAATACACTATGGGGTCACTGATAGCCACTCATTGCCATACATGGGCACGGATGCAAGGGCACTATTGGTAAGCACTGAAGAAGCTACACCAGCAATGTGGCAAACTATCTAAACAGCCCAGCGGGCCGTATAGGCCCGGCAGACCCTTTAAATTATAATCCGGGCCCGTTGGAGCGTGGCAAACATTGCCTGTACTAAAGGGGGAGCTGATAATTACTATAGGGGGGCTGATGAATTAACTATATGGGGGAATGAATTACTATATGGGGGATGAATTACAATAAGAATTGGGGTTATAAACATTATATTTGGGATGAATTACTAAATGGGGGATGAATTACTTTAATATGGGGGATGAATTACTATATGGGGGATGAATTACTATGCTTACTATGGGGGAATATTACTATACTTACTATGATGACACATACACATCATTCATCTACTCTTGGTCTGGCCCCCGGGTCCAATATATGAACCTATTGCGGCCCTCAAGTCAAAAAGTTTGCCCACCCCTGGGCTACACTGATCACCAGGATACTAATGATCAGTGCCCTGATGATCAGTGCAGATCTCCCCCTGCAAAATGCCGCTTGCCAGCTCTCCCTGACGTGCTGTCAGCATCAAGAGAGGACTGCCGATAACTGGCATTTCCTATTTACCCTGTGATCAACTGTGATTGGACACAGCTGGTCAGATGGTATAAGAGGCTGTGATTGGCCCGTTCCTTATTCATGTGATCAGCCATGTCCACAGGACACAGCGATCTCAGATGGCACGTGGGGGGTGTGGTTCTGGGAGGACGTCCTCCCAGAACTAGCCGACTATGCTTTAGCCGTCTTTTGGCTATAGCGCGGTCGGGAACTGGTTAAAGATTCACTATCAGCCCCACAGGTAAGTATTCAAAAAACAATTACATTCCCGGTAGCTGGGAATCATAACTGTCACATTCGCTTGTGATCGCAACCAAACTGTCAAACCATCAACCGATTGGAGTCATAACTGATCACATGTGCGGCACCATGGCAGTTACAAACCAAACAGAAGCCAATATGGCAGCCTCCTTGGCTGTTAGGCCTCATGCACACTGTATGCTACTAACACATTTCTCTCCTATAGAAGTTTAGTAACAGAAAAAAAAAACGTGGCAAAATCCTGCACTTTACATGCGTGTTAATGGGAGTTCATGCACCTGCACAGACACAACCGCTGCTCTCAAACTGACAGCACTGTCTGCATGCAGGGCTCTGCACCTTCATGGCTGTCAAACTGGGAGCTGTGACTGCCTGAGCATCCCTGTGCAGGCACACATGGCCCTTGCATGGGTATACATTGTAATACACCCGTGAGAAAGTCAAGAATACTCACCTATCCTCCAAGAATCCGATGTCGGCCTCTTCTTCTGGGTACCAGTCTCCGGCTGTCTTGATTGGACAGAGCAGGATGATGTCACCCCTACGCATGTGTAGGAGTCCTCCATCCCTGCGCACACATGCACTGTACTGGACATGTAATTGGAGCTGTGCATGCGCTGCACCAGGTTCATTCTGCACAGAATTATGAACAGGCAGGTAAGAATTATTGTATGTCTTTCCTGCAATACCAAGCCGGCCTGTTCACACTTATTTAACCACTTGCCCTCCAGAGGATTTACCCCCCTTAATGACCAGGCCTCTTTTTGCTACTCGGCGCTGCACTAATTCAACTGATAACGGTCATGCAATGCTGCACCCAAATGAAATTGACATCCTTTTTTTTCACACAAATAGAGTTTTTTCTTTCGGTGGTATTTGATCACCTGTGCGCTTTTTATTTTTCACGCTATAAACAAAAAGACCAAAAATTTTGAAGAAAAACAATATTTTTTACTTTCGGCTATAAAAAATATATAGTAAACTCAAAGTTAGTTATAAATTTAGGCCAAATTTGATTGCTTTGTGTGAAAGTTATAGCGTCTACAAACTATGGTATAGCTTTTACTTTCTGACTGCCCATCACATTTCTTGAGGTGCTAAAATACCAGGACAGTACAAACACCCCCAAATGACCCCTTTATGGAAAGTAGACATCCTAAGCTATCTGCTGAGCGGCATATTGAGTCCATGGAAGATTTTTTTTTTTTCCCACAAGTTTCTGGAAAACTTTTTTTTTTTTTTTTTTTACATAAAGTTGTCGGTTAAATGATTTACTTCTCGCACAAGCCATGGGTATATGTGGAATTACACCCCAAAATACATTCTGCTACTTCTACTGAGTATGGGGATACCACATATGTGAGACTTTTTGGGAGCCTAGCCACATACAGGAGCCTGAAATCCAATGACCACTTTGAAAGCCTGAAGGTGCGTAACTTCCTCATTTCACTTCCTCACTACCTATCACAGTTTCGGAGGCCCTGAAATGTCAGGATAGCACCAACCCCCCCCCCCCCCCCCCCCAAGTGATCTACTTTTGGAAATCAGACACCCTGAGGAATTTAAAAAGAGGCATGGTGAGTATTTTGCATTTCCGGTTAGGGGGTGTGGGTGCAGCTCGCTGTTTGCGGCCTCGGCTGTCAATCACCGAATCCCAGCCTGTGATTACTCACCAGCACCAGGTGATCAAGGAGGATTACCAACAGAGAGAGAGAACTGTAAGTACACAATACAGTTCTATCCCCTGTCAGCTCCTGCACACTGCTATGCAAGGCTTTGCATAGCAGAGCCATGCAAGGCAGTGTGCTTACAGTGAAGCACACACACAGCACACTTAGTATAACAGTTAACCCCTTCCTGCCCAGTGCCATTAGTACAGTGTCAGTGCTTTTTATTAGCACTGATCACAGTATTGGTGTCACTGGGGATGTAAGTGACACCAAGTCAGTACCCCCCCCCCCCCCCCCCCCCCCCCCCCCCCCCCCCCCCCCCCCCCCCCCCCCCCCCCCCCCCCCCCCCCCAAGTATCAGAATTGTATGCCGAATTTTCTGTTTTGGCACCAGATTTTTTATTTCGGCGCAGCACTAGTAACTGAAAGTAAATTTTTTTTGTTTGGATAGGGTAGAGCGGGTGTCGGCAACCCGCGGCTCTTTTTCATCTTTGCTGCAGCTCCGGAGCACACTGCCCACCAGGTGACAGGCAATAGGGTTTCAGTGGTCGGCAAGCCGCGGATCGAAAGCCCACATGCGGCTCTTCTGTGTGCCGGGGCGCCCGCTCCCCTCCCTCCTCTCGGGCGGCCGCCTCAAAAGTCAGGACTCTTTTAATCCAGCCCCGCGGAGCGTGGAACATTAGCTGTCAGGATGTAGGCGGGGCAGCCAGGATGTAGGCGGGGCAGCGTGACAAACTCCTCTCACAGTCCGCCCTGAAGACCGAACACAGCGCGGGAACACAGCGAGAGGAACGCGCGGAGCAAAGGTAAGTGAATTGAGACAATATGGGGAATTAATTACTATAGGGGGGATGAATTACTATATGGGGGATGAATTACTATGGGGGATGAATTACTATATGGGGGATGAATTACTATGGGGGATGAATTACTATATGGGGGATGAATTACTATAGGGGGGATGAATTACTATATGGGGGATGAATTACTATAGGGGGGATGAATTACTATAGGGGGGATGAATTACTATATGGGGGATGAATTACTATATGGGGGGGATGAATTACTATAGGGGATGAATTACTATATGGGGGATGAATTACTATATGGGGGATGAATTACTATAGGGGGGATGAATTACTATAGGGGGGATGAAATTACTATAGGGGGGATGAATTACTATATGGGGGATGAAGCTAACTGCACGATCCTGTATATAGCATTAAGGTAAGAAACAATATATGCAGTGTCGGATTTGTTTTAAATGTTGCAATGGTTTTGCGGCTCCCAGTCTTTTTTTTCCCTTCGGAAACGTGTGCAAGTGGCTCTTTATGTCTTAAAAGTTGCAGACCCCTGGGGTAGAGGGATTAGAACCCCTGTCAGTATTGCTGTCGGTGCCCCCATTAGGGAGATTCCTCCCCTCTATTTGTCCTGTTTACCTTTGTCACTAAAACTGAAAGTAAAAAAGAAAATCCCAAATTTTGGGTTGTCCCCATAAAACTAAGAGGGGAAATCTTCCAATGGGGGCACTAGTTCTGGTGACAACCAGGGATTTTCTCACTTGAAGGATTTCACTTCCTGTTTTTTGGCTATGGGACAGGAAGTGAAGGTAAATCTCCCCAATGGGACACAAATGGCAAAAAAACCTGGCAGAGGTTATAACCCTCCCTTACTCTATTGATAATGGGAAAAAAATGTTTTGCCTTTAACTCAATTGATTAATTTTTTTTAATTACTTTAAGTTCTCTGAATCTGCAAACCCATGTACAGTGTATATCCAGCAAAAAACTCTGTTTTGTATGGAGGGAGAAGTATCACAACTGTTGTCAGGTTATTCCCTGTCACAGAGATTTGCCCTCACTTCCTGTCCTGCTGACTACTCTCATTAGACAGGAAGTGAGGGGAAATCTCTGTGACAGGTAATAACTTGACAACAGTTCTGATACTTCTCCCTCCATACAAAATAGTTTTTTGCTGGATATACACTGTACATGGGTTTGCAGATTCAGAGGGACACAGGGATAAAATCGGACAGCCTGCTCCCCCTAATCTGAAATGTCTGTGCTGCAGAGGCCCCTCCTATCTGATAATATGTTGTCAGCGGGACAGGAAATGAGAACAAATCTCTGGAATGGAGCCCCCCAGTAGCAATCCATAAGATGATCAATTTCTTTAACCCGTCACACTCTGTGTGGAATTACACTATAAGCTGTGTGCAGGGTGACAACGCAGCTCAGATGGCAGTGCGGGATGGAGAGTGTTGTCACCCCGCTGATGGTAATGGAAGGATGACCAGGTGAGCAATCCTCCATTACAGCAGGACGGTGTGATATCGCCCCCCCCGGCGGAGGACATGCACCGACCCCTCACCTGGAGGCTGCTGGTAGTGGGACCGGCTCTGCTCCTGCCGGCGGCCGCCGCCTCCTCTGGGATGTTCATTCCAGCATCGATCTCCGTACCGGCACCGGCCCTCCAGGAAGTAGCTGCAGATCGCCATCCTGACCACTATCGGCCACTGGAAGCCCCGGGGAACGGTTATTACTGGACAGTGTACGCGTCATGTGAGCGGAGGAAGTGACGTTATGGAGAGGGCGGGGCCGACCGGAGTACAGTGTGCGTTGTCACTGGGAGGACTCAGGCGGGAGAAGTGATGTGTGGTGGAGGGGTCATCAGAGAGAGGAGTGTAGAGAGGGCAGCTACAGGAAGGTGCATTGGGCTGGAATAGGGAGCAATGAGGGGGGTTGGGTTCTGGGAGGAGTGAGGTGCAGAGTGAGGGGTTCTGGGAGGAGTGAGGTGCACAGTGAGGGGTCCTGGGAGGACTGAGGTACAGAGTGAGGGTCCTGGGAGGAGTGAGGTACAGAGTGAAGGGTCCTGGGAGGAGTGGGGTGTCCTGGGAGGAGTGAGGTACAGAGTGAGGGGTCCTGGGAGGAGTGGGGTTCAAGTGTGGGGAGGAGGGGGTTCAAGTGTGGGGGGCAGGGCCGCTGTTAGATATCACGGGGCTGTACATCTACCTGACAGGGCGTCCCCCACCCACCCGAGAAAATACCAAAATTATATTATGGTAAAAATACACTAAAAACTTTTTAACTCCTAGACACTGAGCACACGCAAATATGCGGCGTCTAGGCCTTGACGCTGATCGCCGCATATTTGCATACCATTTGGAAATACATATGTGTTGAGAGCACGTGTCCTGCGCGCTCCCGACACATATGTGCGTGACACGGAAAGGTCCCAATCTCACCTTGCGATCGGGACCTTTTTCAGTCATATCACAGGAGTCACATGACCCTAAAACCTCGCCCTGCCTCCTGGCTTCTGAAACTGTCAAAGGGCCGGGAGGCGCTTGCGCAAAGGAGTTAATGTACAAAATCCCAACCATATTCCTGTGAAATCTAAATGATAAAACTACTGAGTTCATAAATAAAGCTCTGTGTGTAATTGAGGTCTTGGGGCTCATTCACATGGGTGCTGTGGCCTGTAGAGTGGGAATCAGAGTTTGTTTTTTTGGCTGTGTTCAGGCAACCTATGGTATACTATGGAAACACTGCAGGTTCTAATTTGGCAGGTATTTAGGTGCAGGTGTACAGCCCTGAACACAGACAGTGAACATTCAGGGCCACTTCCCCACGCCTGTACACCAGTCAGATTAAAACCTGTATTCATACGGCTGCTGTGTCCTCATAGTGTAACAGGTGGCTCCAGCCACGTGAACAACCTACTCATTCATGCTGTACAGGCCAGAGGACCTGTGTGAATGGAGCATTTTTGACAATTTTGTTTCCTCAGCCCATTAATTTCAATGGGCTGCCTAATGTGTGGGAACATGAAAAAAATGCTGCAGGCATATTATTGTAAAAGTGTGTTGCACCTAACCGCACAGTAGTGTGGTGCCATGGGGTTTGGTGGCTGTGAATGCGTCTGTGTTTACTAGATGTGTGGAGGTGCAATTAAGTATTCACAGTACCTGCGCACATCTGCAGAGGGCATTGCATTTTTTTGCTGTGCAGGAGAATGTGTACTCTTGCATGCGTTTCTGCACCACAAATGGTGTGAACAAGTCCTAAGGGCCAGTTCACACTATAGAAACAGTCTAGATGTGTTCCAGATGCGTTTTTGCATGCACGGGTTTTGCGTGTTTTTAGTACGTTCTGGTAATTTTTTTTGGTGCGTTTTTGACGTGTTCCAGTGCATTTTTTTATGCATTCCAGTTAATTTGTTTCCCTTTTTTTCTTCAATTTAATTATAGACATGTGCGTTCCAGTGCGGTTTTTGGTGTGTTTTTTTGTGTTCCAGTGTGTTTTTGATGCATTTTACCGTGTTACAGTACAGTTCTGTGCAGAAAAAATGCAGCATATTCTACTTTTTTCTCTGCATCCGGAACGCACTGGAACTGCAAGTACTGATGTGAACTATGACACTGACAACCATATAACCTACTTTCTGTGCATTTTGGATGCAGAAATAAAGTAACTGAAATGCATGTAGTGTGAACTGGCCCTGAGGGCTGGTTCACACTATAGAAACACGTTCCAGATGTGTTTTTTGCATGTGCATCTTTGGTGCGTTCTGGTGCGTTTGTGTTTTTGACGTGTTCCAGCGCGTTTTTTAAACATTCCAGTTAATTTTTTCCCCCGCTTTTTCTTTAATTTAAATAGGGACATGTGCATTCCAGTGCGTTTTTGGTGTGTTCCAGTACAGTTCTGTGCAGAAAAAATGCAGCCTGCTCTACTTTTTTTTTCTGCAACTGGAACGCACTGGAACTGCAAGCACTGGTGTGAACTATGACATTGACAACCATATAGCCTACTTACTGTGCATTTTGGATGCAGAAAAAAAGTAACTGAAGCACATGTAGTGTGAACTGGCCCTGAAGGTTATTATAGGTCAGGGAACGGGACTGACCAGGAATTGTGAATGCAATCAGACTAGTGGTGAGATACAATCAGGAATCATATAATAACGCCAGATCTGAGCTGGAGGTGATAGGAAATGGGGGGAGGGTTAAATTGTATAAGGAAAGAGGTTTGTAGCAGTGAACAGAAAGGGATCAGCAATCTGGGGGAGAGGAGAGAAACAAAGTTGCAATCAAATGTAAACAGAAGGAAACTTGAAAGTGTCAAACTTGTGGAGCAGAGCAGGAGTGCCTCCAACATCACAACACGGAGCTGCTGTGTGATAGAATGACAATGGAATTTAGCAGCCGCGGCTGAGCTTGTCAGCTGCCCGGGCCCCCCTCTGCAGCTGATGGGGCCAGGCCCCCTACAGGGGGGCCAGGGGTACCCCCTTATCAGCGGCCCTGCTGAGGGGTGCTGGGTGGGGTAGGGTGCAGAGTGAGGGGTTCCGGGTGCGGTAGGGTTCAGTGTGAGGGGTCCTGGGTGGGGTAGGGTTCATTTTGAGGGGTCCTGGGTGGGGTAGGGTTCAGTGTGAGCGGTCCTGGGTAGCGTTCAGTGTGATGGGTGGGGTAGGGTTCAGTGTGAGGGGTCCTGGGTGGGGTAGGGTTCGGTGTGATGGGTGGAGTAGGGTTCAGTGTGAGGTGTACTGGGTGGGGTCGGGTTTGTTGTGAGGGGTCCTGGGTGGGGTAGGGTTCAGTTTGAGAGGTTCTGGGTGGGAGAGGGTTCGTTGTGAGGAGTCCTGGGTGGGGTAGGGTTCAGTGTGAGGGGTCCTGGGTGGAGTAGGGTTAAGTGTGATGGGTGGGATAGGGTTCATTGTGAGGGGTCCTGGGTGGAGTAGGGTTAAGTGTGAGGGGTTCTTGATGGGGTAGGGTTCAGTGTGAGGGGTTCTGGGTGGGGTAGGGTTCGTTGTGAGGGGTCCTAGGTGGGGTAGGGTTCAGTGTGAGGGGTCCTGGGTATGGTTCAGTGTGATGGGTGGGGTAGGGTTCAATGTGAGGGAGGGGTTCTGGGTGGGATAGGGTTCAGTGTGAGGGAGGGGTTCTGGGTGGGATAGGGTTCAGTGTGAGGGGTTCTGGGTGGGGTAGGGTTCGTTGTGAGGGGTTCTGGGTGGGGTAGGGTTCGTTGTGAGGGGTTCTGGGTGGGGTAGGGTTCGTTGTGAGGGGTTCTGGGTGGGGTAGGGTTCAGTGTGAGAGGTTTTGGGTGGGATAGGGTTTGTTGTGAGGGGTCCTGGGTGGGGTAGGGTTTGTTGTGAGGGATCCAGGGAGGGGTAGAGTGCAGAGAGAGGGGTGCTGGGTGGGGTAGGATTCAGTGTGAGAGGTGCTGGATGGGGTCAAGTTCATTGTGAGGGGTGCTGGGTGGGGTAGGGTTCAGTGTGAGAGGTGCTGGATGGGGTGAAGTTCATTGTGAGAGGTGCTGGGTGGGTTGAAGTTCATTGTGAGGGGTGCTTGGTGGGGTAGGGTTCAATGTGAGAGGTGCTGGGTGGGGTGAAGTGTGGTTCACCTTTATCTGAGTCAGTCCCCCAATAACTGCTACCCAACCAAACCACGCCACCAGCACCTCCAGTTGCACACTATTATAATATACCCCAAATGTCTAATATGTGTCTATCATTCACCTCTAAAACAATGGCAGACTTCCTATACCTACAGTATGTGCCACAGCTTACACAAATAATGGGCCTGCACTTCACAAATGCCTTCTCACCTTCCTCTATCCACCAGACAATAGCAGCCATTGTTAGAAATTCTGTATATAGCCCAACAGAACACACAGTGCACAGTCCACATGTATTTTTCTGCTTCACTGCAACCAGGAAACTTTATTTTGAGAAAAGAGATACCTTGGAATTCATAAAGACTGGCGCAGACAGAATTAACAAAAAGTGTTTGAGGGGCAATGAGACTGTGGCACAAGCCAAATTTATGTACCTGTTTGGACCAGGTACTTGATTTTGAGGCAATACATTTCCATTTGTCTCACTTCTCTGAGTAAACCTGGCACTCTACCCTTATCACATTTGAGCCCGAATACAGTTTAAATTTTTACATGTCTCTTCTGAGCGGAACTGATGCTTGCTATTATATTTGGCACATTGCTTTTAAATGCACAGTTCTTCCATTCTAACCTTTCTATTGCACTTTGGGGCGATGCTATTCTGATTGTCACATGTCTCTTTCTGAGGGAAACTGTGGAGAACTGGCACTTGGAGAAAATCTAATCAAGGTAACATTTTCCATGGAGACTTACCAAATTACAGTACCGGAGTAATTTAAATCCCTATTTGAAGAATTTCTTCAAAAGAATATTATTGACTCCAATAGTAGCAAAATTTTTCCTATTGAAGATATTCCTGAGTCTCAGTAACATAAGCCTAATAAAATACTTTCTAATACATTTTCAAGTGAACAAATTGGAAGAAAAAAAAATAAAGAAAAAAGTTTTAAAAATAGAAAAAAAGTGTTTTCTCTTTTTTATTTTTACATACTGTTACCAGTGAATATCCGTGATCACCGCCACATCAGTCATAAGATGATGCCGTACTGCTCTGGTGACCGTATGTAAATAAAAATATGTACTTTCATTCCTTAATTTTCCAAAACATTGA